TCCAGACGTTGCGGCCATCTGGGAAGTGAACCATTTAGATGGAAGACCCTTCTCTATGTCTCTCCCTCTCTCTCTAACTCTCCCTCGCAATACAACAAATTTAAAAAATCTTAAAAAAAAAAAATACATGGGATAATGTAATGACAAGAACCAGGTCTCCAATTTACCCTTAAGGCATGGCCTGCACATGGGAAAACAGTTGACTAACAGGAAACTCTAAAGAAACAGTACAGGAAAGCTACTGTTTCAGGCACCCGCTGCATGCTGAGTGTTGAGTAACAGTACTGCTTGGTGGATACCATTACTCCCATTTCTCTTCAGCAGCCTTGGAAACACGGTAGGCCATGGCCTGCCCGAGCAGAGGCTCCTGAGGCAGCAGCCAAGCTTGCCGGGGTTGTGTGGGTGTGTGTGTGTGCACGTTGCCTCCAGCCCCCCTGTGCAGTGCCAGTGCCTCCCTTTCCCAAAAGAGAACTGGGGCCAGGCAGGCAAACGACTGCTCTCCCCCACCGCCTGGCACAGCCGTGGCAGTTGGGCTGAGAACCCTGGTCTATTCCTCTGTGCTCTGAGAAGAGCCATCGTCTGAGCTCCCTGTCCTGACTCTGGGACAAGGAGAGGAAGATGATCTACATCCAGGATGGGCAAACTGTAGCACCCCTGCTGAGGGCAAACTCTGAGGGTGGCAGAGAAACAGGTTCAGAGCCCAGCCTGGCTGTGGAGTCTTTTAATGGGGCGGCGGGGGTGGGGGCAGGGTGAGCCCCGACCAGTTAGAAGGCGGGTCCTGCTCCTGCACAGGCACAGCAGAGCCTGGCCTTTGGGGTCTCCTTCCTGAGAATACCACGTGGAACAGAGGAGAACTTTGCGGCAGATAAGGTGAGGAAGGCAGTGGCAGCCGCCTCGGTGCTATGCTCAACTCCCCAGCTGGGGACGCTGATGTGCTCGTGCAGGGGCGTATCCACCCTCTGCCATGGGCCCAGGAGCAGAGTGGGGCAGACAACCTGTGGCCGACTCAGGAGCGGTTCCTGGCCAGACCCTCCCTCTGGTCACTTCTGCATCCTGTCCGGTGCCACGCACACGATGCACTGTGGGAATGCGAGTAGCTTCTCTCCTGGCCCACAGTGAGGATCGGCTCAGCTGCCAGACAGCACTGCAGCCCAGGCTCCCGCCTCCTGCGCTATTGCAGCTGCCACTCTCGAGCGGCCTGCCTGCCTATGTCGGGTGCTGTCAGTACTGCTCGCTCGCGTTCCCGGGATATGAAGAGATTACCCACGTAAGGACAGCTATCTGTAACTCACGTCTGTCAGACCGCAAGGAGCTTTCAAGTGGGATCATTAGGATATTCTCCTGATTTCTCAAGGGAACAGGGTCTTACCTGAGGAGGTCGCCCATCATTATGTTAAATGCTGTGGCAAAATCCCAAAGGGAAATGCCCCAATTCCAAAACATCTGAAAGCCCCATCTCCAAATCCAAATCCTTGAAATCCCTGCGGAAGAAATGCAATTAAGAGGAGGAGAAAAACGTAGGCTGCTTCTGCACCTGCCAGATGGGGGACACCTTACATGTCACCTGTCGTGGTCCCTCTGCAGCCTGTTTCCAAGAGGTGGACAGCGTTTCCACCCAGCTAGACCCCAAAGCAGAGGAACCTGGTGGCCTCTCTGCTTCTCTGGCCTTCATCCCCAGCTAAGGAGCAGGGAAAGGCCACAGCACTGGCTCCGACCCAGCGTGAAACACTCCGCGGACTCAAGCCAGAGTTCTTGGGCCTGAGGTTCTTTCCCAGCATCCCACTTTAGCCAGAAATTTCTGCACGCTTTCTAACAGCAGAATTGTCCATCATCCCCATAGCCCAATTACAGGCAGCAGCAAAACGAGCTATGCATTATCTGTTACAGCAAAAGTTAGAACCCCAATTAGCCAACAACGGAAGTCATGATCTAGATCTTAACATACTTTCAAAAGAACATGATGCTAACTTATGCGGCAACACAGAACTCTTGTGATCATCAGACAAGAGTCAACACCATGGCACGAGCGCATGCTATCTGTGGTAAGTAGGCAAGACACAGCTAGTGTTTTTCCTTAAAAATAATTTAAAAAATTTTACAGCTGAAAATACTTTTTCTGACCACAAAAGTAATGATATATGCTTGTTATAGAAATTCATGCCATTATAGGATTGCTGAGAAAGACAGAGGTCTCTGAGTTAGACCCCCATCTCACAGTCACTTCCCTCAAGTCCACCTCCCCCCAAAAAAACCCCCACTATCAGCAGATAAGCTATCATCCTCATTTTTTCTTATTTCTTTCTTTCTTTTTTTAAGATTTATTTATTTAATTAAAAGCAGAGTTAGAGAGGCGCGCGTGGGGGGAGGGGGGGTTCCTTCTATCTGCTAGTTCACTCCCCAAATGGCTGCAACGGTAGAGCTGGGCCAGTTTGAAGCCAGGAGCCATGTAGGTGCAGGGGCCCAAGAACCTGGGCCATCTTCCACTGCTTTCCCAGACCATAGCAGAGAGCTGGATTAGAAGTAGAGCAGCCAGGACACAAAACAGTGCCCATATGGGATGCGGGCACTGCAGATGGTAGCTTTACCCGCTAAGGGACAGTGCCGGCCCCCCTCATTGTTTTCCATGTGCCGGTTTCAATGCTTTATCTTTCATATGAAAAGATTCAGTAAGGAAAATAATATTATGAACAAGAAGCTCCCTTTTCTAAGTGTAAACTGTGCCACGCACCATTTACGGTCAGCACTGGGACACATGCATCATTTAATTCTTACATTTCTATAAAAGAATCATATAATTATATATTTGAATTATATATAAAAATTACATTTGCATTTTACAGATGGCCGAGGAGAAAATAACTTGATCATGGTGCAGAGTTTAAAGCTAAAACTGTCTATTTATCTGAAAACTCATGCTTCTTAATTACTATGAACATCTTAGAAAAACCTTTTTCTCTTCTCCTGCATCTCTGGCAAGATCTCTAGAGGCAAATGATTTAAAAATAAATAAGGGGCAGTTGGGACTGTGTTGTGGCACAGCAGGTTAAGTTGCCACCTATGATCCCATACCGAGCGCTGGTTTAAGTCCCGGTTATTCTACTTCTGATCCAGCTCTCTGCTAACGTGCCTGGCAAAGCAGCAGAAGATGGCCAGTGCTTGGACCCTGCCACTCACATAGGAAATGCAGATGGAGTTCTAGGCTCCTGGCTTGGGCCTAGTCCAGCCCTGGTCATTGTGGCCATTTGGGGAGTGAACCAGCAGATGGAAGATCTTTTTCTGTCTGTCTCTTCCTTTCTGTTACTCTTTCAAATAAATAAATCTTTTTTTTTTTTTTTTTTTAAGGGGGATGGGGCAGTCATTTGTCACAGCGGTTAAGACCATATGAGAGTGCCTGGGCTCGAGCTCTGCTTCCAAGCTCAGCTTCCTGCTAATGCACGCCCTGGATCTGGCTTCCCCTGTTGTGGGCATTTGGGAGTAAACTAGCAGCTGTAAGATCTCTCCTTCCCTGCCTCTTTCTTGCCTTTCAAATAAAATGAAAGAAAAAAATAAAAGGAAAAAAAAGCCCTGAGGCAACTGCCCTCCCAGAGTTGTGTGGCCTTCATTTGTAAGTTTTTCGAGGTCACAAAAGTGGCTGTTCCCTGTCCCTGGCATCCAGCTGCCAGCTCTGTGCCAAGCAGCACCACCCATAAAGCCGGAAAGAGCTTGATCGAATCAGAGGGCAAACCTACGGGGAACGAAACAACCGGTTTCCACCTCTTCAGCACAGAAAGGCCTCCTCCTCTGACCCAGCATGGCTGAGTCAGGGCTCCTGGGACTGGCCTGCCTTACCCGGGAAGGTGTAACTGTTTCATCAGGAAGCACAGCGCTAGCAGTGAATCCCGAGGACTGACTGTCCACTCCCGTCTGCACCATCCCCCAAGTCCTCACTTCTGCCGGGTTCATGCTTCTGTGTGCAACAGGCATCACTAGAGGCTACAGGTGTGTGTGAACACTAGCAGCGGGCACTGCAGCCACTGGGGTCACAGCCCCTCGATCCCTTTCTGAGTTGCTAATGCTGTCAGGAACCAGAGCCCGAGGGGCAGAAGGGTGCTGCCTGGTGTTCAAGGGCAGACACCTGCAGAATCAGGCACATCTGGATTTCAGGTCTCTGTGGTCCTCACGTCACTTCACCTATCTGGGCTTCAGTTTCCTCTTCCGCTACATGGGTTGAGGTGAGATTTAAAAGGAGACCATGCATAGCAGCGCTTGCCATGTATGTTCTGCATATACCATTCAACAACTGTTCACTGCTCACAAGTGAGCTAAAGACCTTCAGTTCCCATCAAGACCTTTGACTCCTGGGGCCAGTGCTGTGGCATAGCAGGTAAAGCCACTGCCTGCAATGCTGGCATCTCACATGGGTACCAGTTTCGAGTCCCGGCTGCTCCTCATCTGATCCAGCTCCCTGCTATGGCCTGGGAAAGCAGTAGAGACAGCCCAAGTCCTTGGGCCCCTGCATTTGCATGGGAGACCTGGAAGAAGCTCCTGGTTCCTGGCTTTGGATCAGTGCAGCTCCAGCCATTGAGGCCATCTGGGGAGTGAATCAGCGGATGGAAGACCTCTCTCTTTCTCTCTCTGCCTCTGCCTCTCTGTAACTCTGCCTTTTTTTTTTTTTTTTTTTTTTTTTTTTTTTTTTTTTGACAGGCAAAGTGGACAGTGAGAGAGAGAGACAGAGAGAAAGGTCTTCCTTTGCCGTTGGTTCACCTTCCAATGGCCGTTGTGGCTGGCGTGCTGCGGCCGGCGCACCGCGCTGATCCGATGACAGGAGCCAGGTACTTCTCCTGGTCTCCCATGGGGTGCAGGGCCCAAGCACTTGGGCCATCCTCCACTGCACTCCCGGGCCACAGCAGAGAGCTGGCCTGGAAGAGGGGCAACCGGGACAGAATCCGGCGCCCTGACCGGGACTAGAACCCGGTGTGCCGGCACCGCAAGGCGGAGGATTAGCCTACTGAGCCGCGGAGCCGGTGAACTCTGCCTTTCGAACTCTGCCTTTCATATAAATAAATAATTTTTTTTTTTTGACAGGCAGAGTTAGACACTGAGAGAGAGAGAGAGAGACAGAGAGAAAGGTCTTCCTTCCATTGGTTCACCCCCTAAATGGCCACTACGGCCAGAAGACTGCGACCAGCACGCTGCGCTGATCCGAAGCCAGGAGCCAGGTGCTTCCTCCTGGTCTCCCAAGCGGGTGCAGGGCTCAAGCACTTGGGCCATCCTCCACTGCCTTCCCGGGCCACAGCAGAGAGCTGGCCTGGAAGAGGGGCAACCGGGACAGAATCCGGCGCCCTGACTGGGACTAGAACCCGGTGTGCCGGTGCCGCAGGCAGAGGATTAGCGCCAGCCAATAAATAAATCTTAAAAAACAACAAAAAAAAGACCTTTGACTCTTATTCCTGGGAACCTTAAATGAATGCACTAATTCAAATAAGAAAAAAGAAATGTATGCAAAGATTATCTCTAACATTAGTTTCTTAAATTTATTTCTTGAAAGACTAATTACAGAGAGAGGAGAGAGGCAGAGAGAGAGATCTTTTATCTGCTGATTCACTTCTCAAATGGCTGCAATGGCTGGGCTAGGCCAGGTCAAAGCCAGGAGCCAGGAAACCCATCCAGGTTTCCCACCAGGGTGGCAGGGGCCCAGGAACTTGGGCCATGCCACCTTCCACTGTTTCCCAGGTGCATTATTAGCAGGGAACTGGCTCAGAGGTGGAGAAGCCAGGATTGGTGCTCATAAGGAATGCCAGCATCGCAGAAAGTGGTTTAACACACTGTGCCAATACTGGCCCTTCTCTGTAGTATTATTCAAAAAATAAATCCAGAAGCAACTAAAAGATCCTTCAAAAAGGAAAAATATCTAAATTATAATGCACAAAAATTCAATGGGATAAAAGGCAGCCTTTGAAAAATAATAGAGTGGGTGGGTGTTGCAGTGCCGTGGGTTAAACCAATCCTTAGGACACTTCATTCCACAATGCAGTGCCTGGTTCAAGTCCTGGCTACTCTGTGCTTCCAATCCAGCTTCCTGCTATGCCCCTGGGTGGCACCTAAAGTTAATCCTCTGTCTGCAGTGCCAGCATCTCATATAGGTACTGGTTCGAGCCCAGCTGCTTCTCTTCCAATCCAGCTCTCTGCTATGCCCTGGGAAAGCAGTAGAAGATGGCCCAAGTGCTTGGGCCCCTGCACCTGCATGGGAGACCTGGAAGAAGCTCCTGGCTCCTGGCGTCGGATTGGCACAGCTCTGGCAGTTGCAATCATTTGGGGAGTGAACCAGCGGATGGAAGCCCTCTCTCTCTGTCCCTCTTACTGTCTGTAACTCTGCCTCTCAAATAAATAAGTAAATAAATCTTTAAAAAAAAAAATAAAGAGAACATTTCAGAACATCATGGAAAACACTGTCAAAGTTAAATTTTAAGCAGCAGACAGAATTGTGGCTGCATAAATATACACAGGTACTTTTAAAAGTTGAGGGAAATGGAATGAAAAGATAAGGTCATTTTGGTAAAAACCTTTTGAAATCCATGCAAAGTTTTCTCATAATACACATTTTCCGTGAACTTTCTGAAGATCCCCTGGTACAGACACAAGTAAGCAGATGAGAAGGCCATGGGGAATGAGCATATACCTGCTCTGGGATTCTGGCAGTCTGAGTAAATACTCTGCTTTTAAAATTTAACATTTTAACATGAAATTGGTGTTTTTAAGGATTAATATCTAATTTAAAGGTACACATTTTTGAGCAATGCATTCTAGTTCTATCAAAATGCGAATCTGCTAAAAAAAAGTGTTAAGTTCATCTACAATATTTTTAATACAGAAAAAATGAAGGAAATAGTTAACAGCTAACAAAAGACTAGTTACGTAAATTAAGTCCACACGACTGAACACTAAAGACCCACTCAGTAAAATATTGCTGGCATGTAAGTCTCAAGTTGCGTGAGTACTGCTGAGCGTCTCCCACTCAGAATGTAAATGCCATTAGGGGTAGGGGTGCTTGTCATGTTCCTGGAAACATGACCACTGCTAGAATAGCCCTCAGCACACAGAAGGCACTCAATATCTGTAGAATGAGTGAACTTTTTAAAAAGGGTTACAAAACAGGAGCCATGTGCTACAAAAAAATTGAAAATAAAAAATGGGAGGTGTTGTGGCTCACTAAAGTGAAGCTGTCACTTGGGACACTCACATCCCATACTGGCTACTCTGCTTCGAATCAGCTCCCTGGGAAGGCGGCAGATGATGGCTCCAGTGCCTAGGCCCTTGCAAACTACATTGGAGACCCAGATGGAATTCCGGGCTTCTGCTTCATCCTGACCCAGCTCTGGCTGTTGTAGCATGTAGGAAATAAACCGGCAGAGAAAAGATCTCTGTCTCTGCTGTCCTGCTTTTCAAGTTAATGAAAACAAGTAACATTTTTAAGATTAAAAAAAAGTGTATTTACATCCCTAAAATCACAAATGTAAACAGATCTATAAAAATCTGTATGCTTATATATTTAATCATAAAAGAATGTAAGAGAAAATAGAGCAAATGTCCCTGGTGGTTATCCCTGGACGGCGGGATCCCACTTCTCCTTTCAGTATTTACACACTTTCCTTTCCTTTCATGAACAAGGAGAAAAAATGATAAGGCGAAGAGGGGAAACTTCCAAAGTCATGGGCTCATTTCTAGAAATTTCTCCTAGAATGCTTCTTACCCCTCTGTTCTCTGGCTCTGGTCTCTGTCCCTGAGGACGGGGAGGGGTCTTCTCTCTGAAACGGAAACGTTGTAAGGTAAGTTTACTACAAAATACTCTGCATTTCTGCTCATTGGAACTGGGAGCTCAAACAAGGTAAGGACCATGAACCTTATTCTCTGCCCAGCACATGAACTTACACTGAATTCAACCAAACACTAACTCTCCCGTCCACCTGCAATTGTTTTTCCCCAACTATTCAGAAAACCCGTGAGAAAGTCAGTCTGTTACAAGACAGCTGGCAGACGCACGACAGCCTACACCCAGAGCATCTGACGCAGACTGCTCTGAAGAGCGCCCAGACACCTTTCCCGGGACCGTATGATACTGGGCTCATGGATGTTAGGAACCCCTAATTCACACCGAGGCCAAGAGTGCTTGGCAGCAGAGCGGGCTGAGCTTCCGGCCTCTCTAGTCTGCCCGTTAGCTTCGCTATGCCTCTCGCTACTCCTGAATGAGTCCCCTTAAGCTATTCTTTTTGCCTCAGGGGTTTCGGCTTCTCTGATCACCCCCCCCCCCCGAAGGCAGGTGCTACCAATGCTGAGACTGATGACATATGCGCTCTCGAGGTATTCATTGTTTCAAGGGGGAGCAATACCATTCACAAAACGCTGTGGACAGGGACTTCCCTAATCCACTGAGGTGGGAGAATGGGTGCGAGCAACTCATGGATGGTGGGAAGAAACACAACTTCTAGGAGGAGGTGAGGGGGCCTGGGCAGGTCTGGGGGAGGCAGACGAGAGAGCAAGGGCAAAGCCTTACGAATGGGAAAGGGCAAGCCCCTTAGAGTGGACCAAGAGGTCTGGTGTACATGCGGGGTGGGGTGGGGTGGCAGAAGGTAAGAGACTCTCTGGAGAGGCGTGGGTACCAGACCATGGAGGGCTTGGGCCTGCAGAATGCAGGACCCACCCACACCTCCATTTCTGGAAAAAAAGCCACCTGGACGCCCTGTTTGGTCCCCTCCATGCTAACACGTGGCTGCTGCAGGAACCCGACTCCCTGCAGGCTCTATGGCTGCACATCAGCCCCAGGTGGCATGAGGTGCTCTCTCTGCACCCTAGCAGCTGTGATGTCTCGTGCGCTGCTGGCAGACGGCACTCAGTAGGTATCCGTACTGTGGCTTGGCAAGTGGCAACTTGGCTCCCTTCTAGACCAGAATGCCTCGGAACTGAAGGATCACCAAGCACCAGGCAAGGGTGGGGAGAAGCGGGTGCAAGAGGAACCCCAAATCCTCACCTGGGGTCCTGCTGTCCAGTGCTGCCCCTGCCGTAGAGCGGGATGACTTTGTCTCGGCTGATGCCAGCTTTGCAAACTGGACACACCTGTCGATTAGGTCTGGTCTCCAACCACTGCAAGCAGGAGAGAAGAGGCATTAATGGCTCAGAGCCCATCACAGAATGGCCAGTCAGAGCCAGTGGGAAGACCACAAGGATCACAGACTTGGTGCAAAGAACACCTCGAGGAACCCGCGATTTCCTGCTCCTAGCACTCAATAAATATTTACTAGTGGTGAAATAAAATTGCCTTTAAATGCCATCATAATTGAACAGGCTTCTTCATGCTTTGCTGCTCTCTAGGGGCTCCTAGCAATTCGGCGGCAGGAACCGCAAGCCTGGGGCTGTCAAGGGGCCGACGCATCCAGCCTCAGTTGAGGCTGCCAGAGTGGAAGGAACAAACCTTAAATCTCTAGCTTCCCCAGAGCCTCAACTGCATTACCTTGGCACTCATTTTTCGTTCTGTGATTTCTCATTTTTGTAGCACTTCTCAACAACTGTGTATCCTAAACATCAACATCGGGGGCGTTAGCTGATCATTTTCTGGTGATTTACCAGATGCTAAAGGATAGATTCTCATCATTCTCTAAATTTGATTTTTCAAAATGCACTCTCATCAATTTTTGCATTTAATTAAGATTTTAAAAAAACCTCAGAATTCTAAGTATTTTTTAGGCCGTTTCACTAGTTTGATAAAGACATGTTATCTGCTGTGTCTTTGTTAAATAATTCTGTATGTAGATTTTTGTCAACATTTATTTTACAACGTAGAATACAAATAGATTATGCCTTGAGATCCAATGATAAAGGGAACTCTAGGACTACAGAGCTGTGGACACTACAGCATTTAGTGATTTTATAGCCCACTTTATTGAACTTGTTGTCGCCAGTTATTCTTCCGGAACTCCTAGCTGGCATGCTACCAGGGGCTGCTGGGGCCAGAGTGTACAGCCCTGTCCCTCCCTCCTTCCTCCTACCCAGGCTAGAACTTGACCTCCTCCACATTCCTATGCCACACACACACGGCGCTCTGCTGCTGACAACCTTGGAGGTGGTCATTGGCAGTGGTTCTTCACAGCCATTCGTGAATGCCAGGCCCAAGTCTAGCGCACAAAGCAATCTTGCTGAACGTGAACTGGTTCTCCTAACAGTCTAAAGCTGGGAAAACAGACTTTTCCTCTTCTTCACAAAAGCTCTGTTGATACTAAAAAGTTTTCCCCTTCCTAACATATTCAAGACCTTTAAGGATGGGAGGAGGGGCAGCACTGCAGCATAGTGGGTAAAGCCGCTGCCTGCAGTGCTGGCATCCCATGTGGGTGCCGGTTCCAATCCAGCTCTCTGCTATGGCCTGGGAAAGCATTAGAAGAAGGCACAAGCCCTTGTGGCCCCTGCACCTGTGTGGGAGACCCAGAAGAAACTCCTGGCTCCTGGCTTCAGATCTGCCCAGCTCTGGCCATTGAGGCCATCTGGGGAGTGAACCAGTGGATGAAGACCTCTCTCTCTCTCTGCCTCTGCTTCTCTGTAGCTCGCCTTTCAAATAAATAAATAAATAAATAAATAAATAAAATTTTTTGTTGACAGGCAGAGTGGACAGTGAGAGAGAGAGAGACAGAGAGAAAGGTCTTCCTTTTCCATTGGTTCACCCCGCAATGGCCGCTGCAGCGGGCACACTGTGGCCAGTGCACTGCACTGATCCGAAGCCAGGAGCCAGGTGCTTCTCATGGTTTCCCATGCGGGTGCAGGGCCCAAGGACCTGGGCCATCTTCCACTGCACTCCCGGGCCACAGCAGAGAGCTGGCCTGGAAGAGGGGCAACCGGGACAGAATCCGGTACCCCGACCAGAACTAGAATCTGGGGTGCCGGCGCCCTAGGCAGAGGATTAGCCTAGTGAGCCATGGTGCCAGCGTAAATAAATCTTTAGAAAGAAAAAAGGATGGGGGTATACTGCTGATATGATAGGGGGTGCCTCTTCTAGAGGCAGAATCTCAAAACTGAAAAAGGACCTCATATATAAAATCCAACCCAACTTACAAATGAGGATTGAAATCCAAACAAGTGAAAACTGGTGGCAGAGCTGGGACCATCTCGGGTTTACGCTAACCCTTTACTTCATCAAGTCCCTGTTGGGGGACAGGTGTGTACAGAGGGCTGGGGGGTGGTGAGCAAGCAAATGAGCCCACAAGCAGGGGACATTGCAGCGTCTGACAGCAGTCTCCAGAGACCAGGGCTGCCTTGTGCAACCACAGCTGATGAAAGACAAAGTAAAATGAAATGCATCTTACCTGATGTAAACATGGCCAACTGCAGGAGTCCCGAGGGCAACAGTCATTAAGGAGAAGAGAGAAGGGGAAAGGAAGAAAAATGCTTTCATTAGTAGAAACACTTGACAGGTGGGAGCAGCAGAACCTGGAAGGAGAACAGGAGAAAACCGGGCTATGCCATCCCATGGAGGTATCCGAGAACAGGAAAGGCTGGGCTACAATCTGGTCTCCACATCCGGGGTTCTACTACACGTGAAGATGCTCAGGGCCTGGACCACCCAGACCCAATTCCCCTACAAGTTAACCTTGGAGAAGTTACAACCTCTGAAGGAATCCAATAAAAGCTAAGGACCCTCTGCAGAAGAACTCAGGGACATTCTCACGTGTGCGCACACACGGACACTCTGACAGCCACCTGCAGTGGGCTCACAGCTCTCAGGCTCCCGGAGCTGGGTGGACTCCCAGGTGGTTGAACAAAACCTTGAGAGCTCTGCTGGCTGGAAGCAGCCTCCAAGTTCAGCTCTACTCAGAAAACACCTGTGAGTAATGGAAAGGTTGGAGATGCTACCTGGCAGAACAGGCCACCTTCTTAGCGAGTTGCTACCCAACCTCGCATCCTTCAAAAGAGGGAAATGTGGCTAAGAAACATGAAATAACTTGCACCAGGACTAACAACTACGTCTCTGGACTTCCAGTTCAATGCGCTTTTTATTGCCCAGCACTGTACGCAAAAAGTGACATGAATTCATTCTCTCTCATTCATTTCTTTAAGAGGTATCTATTACAAACCCACTATGTGCCCGAGCAACGGAAGATGCACACACGGCTTCTGCACCTCACACATCATGTGTCTGCTACAGCCGAGTTCACCCTGGACTCAGGATAGTTCCTTTTTCAATTTCAGAACCAGGTTAGCTTCACAAAACAGTCCCACAGTCTCCCAGGACATAACAGAAGCCTCATCTCTAGCTCCAGCATTAATCATGTGACCCCATTCTGAACTGAGTGGAGGGTTTCTGTCACAGATCTCCCCTGGCAGCTTCCCTCTAAGGCTGTGGGGGGAGGGGGCATCTAGCTGGTGGTTAAGATGCCCACATGCCATATCTGATTACCTGGGGTCAATACTGGGCTCTAATGCAAACCTTGGAAGGCAATGGTGATGGCTCAAATAACTGGGTTCTGGCCACTCACATGGGAGACAGGACTGAGTTCCTGGTTCCCAGCTTTGGCCTCTCGCCTGGGGCCCCCACAAGCAAATAAAATAAATTTTTTATTTTTATTATTTTTTTTTTTATTTTTTTATTTTTTATTTTTTGACAGGCAGAGTGGATAGTGAGAGAGAGAGACAGAGAGAAAGGTCTTCCTTTGCCGTTGGTTCACCCTCCAATGGCTGCCGCGGCCGGCGCGCTGCGGCCGGCGCACCGCGCTGATCCGATGGCAGGAGCCAGGAGCCAGGTGCTTTTCCTGGTCTCCCATGGGGTGCAGGGCCCAAGCACCTGGGCCATCCTCCACTGCACTCCCTGGCCACAGCAGAGAGCTGGCCTGGAAGAGGGGCAACCGGGACAGAATCCGGCGCCCCGACCGGGACTAGAACCCGGTGTGCCGGCGCCGCTAGGCGGAGGATTAGCCTATTGAGCCGCGGCGCCGGCCAAATAAAATAAATTTTAAATAAATAAATGCAAAGGCTGTGGGAGAGAAATGGAGGTGACTGAATGACCCTTAGGAGAAAGTCTGGGGTTTTAAGAACGATGGGGATTCCTATTTATTAAGGAATTACTGAGCAGGAAGAACGGGCCATCAAAGGAGGTACCTTTCTCTGAAGGGAGGAGAGAACTTCTGCTTTGCTTATGGCCTGGTCTAAATAAGGTCGGAGTTTGTAGACTCAAAAGGCTTCCATAGCCTTGGCAGCTCATGATAAGAGCCTCGGGTGATTACTGACGTCATAAATAAGAGTGTCGATTGTTAAATCAACAGGAGTCACTGTGCACTTGCTCCCCACGTAGGACCTCTGTCCTTAATGTGTTGTACTATGAGAATTAACGGTAAAACTTGTTTTCCAACAGTACTTTATATTTTGTGTGTCTGTGCGGGTGCAAACTGTTGAAATCTTTACTTAGTATATACTAAGTTGATCTTTTGTATAAAAAGATAATTAAAAATGAATCTTAATGAAGAATGCGATGGGAGAGGGAGTAGGAGATGGGATGGTTTGCAGGTGGGAGGGTGGTTATGGGGGGGAAAAACTGTTATAATCCAAAAGTTGTACTTTCGAAATTTATTTATTTGACAGGCAGAGTGGACAGTGAGAGAGAGAGAGGGAGAAAGGTCTTCCTTTGCCGTTGGTTCATCCCCCAATGGCCACTGCGGCTGGCGCGCTGCGGCCAGCACACCGCACTGATCCGAAGCCAGGAGCCAGGTGCTTCCTCCTGGTCTCCCAAGCGGGTGCAGGGCTCAAGCACTTGGGCCATCCTCCACTGCCTTCCCGGGCCACAGCAGAGAGCTGGCCTGGAAGAGGAGCAACCGGAACAGAATCCGGCGCCCCAACCGGGACGAGAACCCGGGGTGCTGGCGCCACAGGTGGAGGATTAGCCTACTGAACCGCGGCGCCAGCCTCAAAATTTATATTTATTAAATAAAAGTTTTCTAAAAAGAAATTACTGGGGCCAGCATTGCAGTGCCGGCATCCCATGTGAGCACCAGTTCAGGTCCCGGCTGCTCCGCTTCTGATCCAGCTGTTATGGCCTGGGAAAGCAGCGGAAGATGACCCAAATGCTTGGGCCCCTGCACCCACATAGGAGACCTCGAAGAAGTTCCTGGCTCCTAGCTTCATATCGGCACAGCTCCGGCCATTTTAGCCAATTGGGGAGTAAACAAGTGGATGGAAGACTTCTTGCTCTCTGCCCCTCCTTCTCTCTCTGTGTAACTCTAAACTTTCAAATAAATAAATAAATCTTAAAAAAAAAAAAAAAAAAAAGAAGAAGAGGAGGAAGAAAAAAGAAATTACTGTGTGGGATGGACGCTGAGGCGTAGTGGGCTAAGTCTCCGCCTACGGTGCCGGCATCCCATATGGGCACTGATTCTAGTCCCAGCTGCTCCTCTTCTGATCCAGCTCTCTCCTATAGCCTGAGAAAGCAGTAGAAGATGGCCCAAGTGCCTGGGCCCCTGCACCCATGTGGGAGACCTGGAGGAAGCTCCTAGCTCCTGGCTTTGGATCCACCTAGCCCCAGCTGTTGCGGCTGTTTGGGGAGTGAACCAGCTGATGGAAGACCTTTCTCTCTGTCTCTCTCTGTCTGTAACTCTGCCTCTCAAATAAATAAAATATTAAAAAAAAAAATTACTGTGTGGCTGAATAGCTCGTCATTGATTAACATCATTCGATGGTGTCATTAACCTACAGGGGGTGCAATTATCTCCACTTTACAGATGAGGAAATTGAAGAGAAGCTAGCAGATTTGCCCACCACCAGGCTGGAAGCATCCTGTTTTTAGAATCTGTGTTCTTTCCAGTGGTAGCCTGCCTCTTACTTAACTCTGCCACTCTTTTCAACTCCTGGTTTTATGATTCCCTGACAGCTCCAATTCCTTCCTCCCTTCCTTCCTTCCTTCCTTCCTTTCTTTTTAGATTTATTTATTTATTTGAAATGCAGAGTTAGAGAGAGGCAGAGGCAGAGAGAGAGAGTGAGAGGTCTTCCATCTGCTGGTTCACTCCCCAGATGGCCACAACAGCCAGAGCTGTGCCCATCCGAAGCCAGGAGCCTCTTCCGGGTCTCCTATGCGGGTGCAGGGGCCCAGGCACTTGGGCCATCTTCTACTGTTTTTCCAGGCCATAGCACAGATTTGGATCAGAAGTGGAGCAGCTGGGTCTCAAACCGGTGCTGCACTGCAGGCAATGGCTTTACCTGCTACACCACAGCACTGGCCCTATATCTCCAATTTCTAAGAAAAGAGTGATCACAACTGTTTCTACAAAAAACCATGATTAGGGCAAGAGTTTGGAGAAAAAAAGAAATCTGTCCCATTTTATTCATTCACCAATAAATTTATCTTTACACTGTTGGCAATTTAAACTCTCTTAAATACTGCTTAAATGACCCTTTCTTCACAGCACTTCCCTGATCAAAAATACTCATTAACTCTATGTTCTCTCAGTCAAATCTGGGTTTGATAATCTGGCCCAACTCTCACACAACCATTCTTATTTCCCAACACTCCTCGCCTCCCATCCAGGGTGCTGTGAGAGGTATATAGTAGGCTCTGGATCTCATATGAATTCAACAGCCCACAAGCCTGTCCTTAGAAATTGCTTGCCTTAGGGTTGCACACATCCTTTGCCTCAACAGGCATTTTCCTATTTACCCAAATTTACCCTTTCAAGGATCAGCTCAAAATGTCAACAGAAAAAAACAGAACTCAGTATTCACCCAGGGTCTCCAAGCCAGGAGGCACTTCTATAACCACTGGGGTTGCAATGGACACTGTCACTACTACTTCATTTTGAGATACACTGATATATATATAAAATACAGTAAGGGGCCAGCGCTGTTGTATAGCATGTAAAGCCGCTGCCTGCAGTGCTGGCATCCCATATGGGTGCCGGTTCGAGACCCGGTTGCTCTACTTCCAATCCAGCTCTCTGCTATAGCCTGGGAAAGCAGTAGAAGATGGCCCAAGTGCTTGGGCCCCTGTACCCGCATGGGAGACCCAGAAGAAGCTCCTGGCTCCTGACTATCGATCAGCCCAGCTCTGGCTGCTGCAGCCATTTGGGGAGTGAACCAGCAGATGGATGACTCTCTGCCTCTGCCTCTCTGTAACTGCCTTTCAAATAAATATTAAAAAAAAAAAAAAAAAACAGCTACAGTAACAATTACTATGGGTATTGCTGACACAGTATTTTCTCCATGCTATGTGTTCCTCTAAGCCTTTTACATATTTCAAGTCTTTTAATACTCATAAACAGTTGAGTAAAATTAGGGAGAGTGCATGTAAGCATCTTGCCCAAGTTCATCCACAGGAAAGTGGCAGAGCCACGATTCAGAAGGAGACATCTTCTGAATTATGGCATACAGTCCTTGCTCATAACTACCATGCCACACTGCTATAGGCTAAGCAAGCAAAGTACAGGTAGCAGGTGCTCACAAAATGGTGAGTGTTGTGGCGTAGCAGCTTAAGCTGCTGCCTGTGATGCCGCCACCCATATGGGTGCTGGTGCGTGTCCCAACTGCCCCACTTCTGATCCAGCCCTCTGTTACCGTGCCCGGGGAAAGCAGTGGAAGATAGCCCAAGTGCTTGGGCCCCTGTCACATGGGTGACTCAGGTGTCTTCAGCCTGGCCCCAGTGCTGGCCGTTGCGTTCATCTGGGGAGTGAACCAGCGGATGTTAGATCTCTCTGTCTCTCCCTCTTACTCTGTTAACTCTACCTTTCAAATAAATCAATCTTTTTTTTTTTTTTTGGACAGGCAGAGTTAGACAGTGAGAGAGAGAGACAGAGAGAGAGTAATAGACAGTGAGAAAGAGACAGAGAAAAAGGTCTTCCTTCCGTTGGTTCACTCCCCTAATGGCTGCCATGGCCGGCACGGTGCCGATCCGAAGCCAGGAGCTGGGTACTTCCTCCCCGTCTCCCATATGGGTGCAGGGACCCAAGCACTTGGTCCATCCTCCACTGCCCTCCTGGGCCACAGCAGAGAGCTGGACTGGAAGAGGAGCAACTGGGACTAGTAACCAGCGCCCCAACCAGGACCAGAACCCGGGGTGCCAGTGCCGCAGGCGGAGGATTAGCCAAGTGAGCCACAGCACCGGCCTAAATCAATCTTTTTTAAGAAGGTTGTGAGTGTCATTACTCTAGAAAGGAGAAGGAGCATGATCTGCCCAAGGTCATCTAGCTCAGCAGCAGGCCCTGTGGGGCCTGAGTCTAACAGGACCCAAAATGGGCGGGAGGTCTTCTGCTCCAAGGCTTCCAGGGCTACCAGCCCCCCAACGCAGCACCATGTTTTCTGGGGCAGCGGGTACTGACCAGAAGAGGTGGCCACACAGGCTGATGACGGCATCCTTGGCTGTGTCCAGGCAGATGTTGCACTCGAAGGTGCTGTCCTGCCCTCCGCTTTCCCCAGCGCCGTTGCTGCTCCCACTGGGGCCCCCTGCGCTGGAGTTCTCAGGGGATGCAGAGGCCGACGGCCCCTTGCTCGCCATCCTTGGCTGTCAGCAAAGTTTTTGGTGAAGATTCTGCCAGGGAAATCCTGAAAGGCAGAGAGCCCTTGGTTACCCACTTCTGCAGCCCACACCCCCTGCCTTCCATGCCAAACCACCCCCGTCCAATACGTCTTCTCTCAACTCCAGTCTCCGGCTGTGCCTGCGGCCCTGGGTAGACTTCCAAGGGTCTGCAAAGGACAACAGTTGTGGGACACTACCCAAAGGGCAACGACTCCGAAACTTCCCATGAACATGGCCCCGAATACACTACACAAATATATCAACCGCACATATACGTCAACAAGTTAACGGAAAAATACGAAAAGCTTATTTGAGTGCAGTAAAGTTTCTGAAATACGTGCAGCTTACTAATATATGCACTTTCAGGAGCCTTTTGAAGACCCCTGTACAAAAACCCTGCAGATGGCCTTCCACAGGAACCAGGACCCTGTCTGAGTTATCTTCACATGCTCCTCTGAGAACCCAGGTGATAAATATATGTTCAATTCCACGGAAAGTTCAGGCTGTCCTCTAATTGTGGACAGCCTCCAATACTAGCAATGAACTCTGCTCAGGCAGGAGGGCTGTGACCGGCACGTGCCAGACTATGAAGACATGCCTGTAGCGGTGAAAACCGAGGAGGTTACTAGGAAGGACCAGAAGGCTCATCCGGTCCAGTGTTTTTCACACTGTGATCTTTTTCACTGTCTTTTCTGCCACGTTGGAATATCACCTACATTATTTCGTCTAAATCTATCCACATTTTGTTTTAAGCTTCAATACATTTAAAGAAGAGGGTTATATCATTGTAATGGATAGAAATTAAATGGAAAACCAGTACTACCTCTACCATAAGTGGAAAACAAGGATTAACGTAACAAGGAAAAGCTATTTATCCTCACACCACCTGAAGTATCTGGCACGCTCATAATCTGCTTCGGGAAATCCTGCTCTGGCCCAACCTCTTTTGGAAACTGCAGCCTGAGCTACCTTGGCTTGCTGACTCATGCGGAGCTGAACCACATTTGTATTCAAGCCACTGTACCACCACAGACCAGCTGACCGCCAAAGGCTGCTACAGAGAGACCACTGTTCACCACCACCTCCAAGTTGAAGAACCCAGCCAGGAGCTGACCAAGACCAAGGGATGCTCAAAATTCTGGGTGCACATGAAGGATCCTCAGCTGGTCCCCTCAACATCCCAGAAATTCTAAGAAAGCAATGTTGGCTGCCATCGTTAGAGAACTGAGGCCTGAATGCTGGCCTCAGCGGAGCCTCCAGCTTGCCAGGTGGTTTGGGGACCTCCCCTTCCCACCCTCGGCCACCTTTTCCTGATCTGTAAAATGAGGCATTAGACTCCCTGGTCTCCGGGGTGCCCCCGCCAGCCCCTTGACTGTGCTGCTCCACATCTTCTCGCCTCCGCAGGTCTAGGACTCACCACTGGAGCACCTGAAGGCCACCTTGATGTCAGCTCCCAAAGTGCAGGGGGTAGGGACCAATGAGCTGCAGCCCTTGCAGACCTGGAAGCTGCCTTCCCTTCCCGCGGTAGACAAGAGCACTGCACTCAGGAACTTGCCTCAGCACAGCAGCAGCTCGCCGCCTGGAGCAGGGAGAGGAGGCCGGCTCGCCGCCACTTTTTCACGCAGTTACATCATTTTACATGATGTCCCAGAAGGGCAGCAGGTTGCTGGCAGCACCGGTGCCTTGCAGGCCTTGGCTCCAAGACCTCCTCCCCGACCCTACGCTTCCCCTCTCCAACACATCTGCTCTCCACACCTTGGGGTGCAGTCTGTTTTGGGGGGGCCACACTGTGGCCTTTCCTTATCATTCCTGCTCAAGGAGCCTAGGAACCAACCCATTTGAGTGTCCTTGTTTAAAAAGATTTTTTAAAATTAAGAACTATGTATCCAGGTTCACTGATCAATCTTAACAACGCCTCTGACATGATGCAATAAGAAGTACACAGCACCACCAATGAAGCATTTGTATCTCACAATGTAGACCCCGATCACGCATCTAAAGTAAATGACCTATTTATAGAAAGTACACACATGTGTTAACTGCAGGGGAGGCCACTGTGGCTCAGCAGGTTAACTGGCTGCTTGTGAAGCCAGCATCCCACATCAGAGTGCTGGTTCGAGTCCCGGCTGCTCTGCTTCTGACCAAGCTCCCTGCCTATGCTCCTATGAAGGCAGCAGATGATGGCCCAAGCACTCGGGCCCCTGCCACCCACGTGGGAAACACAGATGAGAGTTTCTGGTTCCTGGCTTCTTCCTGGCCCAGGCCTGGCCATCATGGCCATTTGCGGAGTGAACCAGGTGAAGCAGCGGATGGAAGCCCACTTTTTCCCCACGACCACTCCTCTGTAATTCTTTCAAACAAATAAATCAATCTCAAACACACACACACACTGTGTGTGTGCATACTCCATGACGATATAATCAGCCAAATCCAGAATGTGAAAGTTTCTACAGGAAAAATTACATTTCTCCAAAAATAAACAGCATGGGTGAAGCTCAGAGATAGAGGTTGAGAAATAAGACATCCTAACAATTTTCAGTGTGTGGATCTCACTGGAATCAGATTCAAACAAATTAATTATGAAAGACAGTCAGCCTGGGTATTAGTCAATTTCACAGGATCGTTAACTTTGTTGAGTATGATAACAGTATTTTTATTAAAAAAATTCTCATCTGCTAGAGATACACACTTAAGTATCTGTGAAGGAATAATAACATGTTGGGGATCTGCTTTAGAATACTCTAGGAGGGGCGGCGCTGTGGCTCACTAGGCTAATCCTCCGCCTGCGGCGCCGGCACCCCAGGTTCTAGTCCCGGTTGGGGCGCCAGATTCTGTTCCGATGGCTCCTCTTCCAGTCCAGCTCTCTGCTGTGGCCCGGGAAGGCAGTGGAGGATGGCCCAAGTGTTTGGGCCCTGCACCCGCATGGAAGACCAGGAGGAAGCACCTGGCTCCTGGCTTTGGATCGGCGCAGCACCGGCTGTAGTTGCCACTTGAGGGGTGAACCAACGGAAAAAGGAAGACCTTTCTCTCTGTCTCTCTCACAGTCTAACTCTGCCTGTCAAAAAAAAATAATAAATTAAAAATACTCTAGGAGGAAAAATACAGTGGAGAGAAAAGATGAAACAAGAATAAAGAAGTGATTGTTAGGGTGGCACTGTGGTGTAGTAGGTTAGGTAACCACCTGTGGTACTGGTATCCCATGGGGCACTGGTTCATGTCCTGGCTGCTCCTCTTCCGACCCAGCTCCCTGCTGATGTGTCTGGGAAAGCAGAGGAAGATGGCGCAAGAGCTTGGGCCCATGCACGCACACTGGAGACCTGGAAGAAGCTCCTGCTCCTGGCTTCAGACTGGCTCAGCTCCAGCTATTGAGGCCATTTGGGGAGTGAACCAGCAGATGGAAAACCTTTCTCTCTCTCTCTCTGTAACTTTGCCTCTCAAATAAATAAATCTTAAAAAAAAAAACAACTGATTGTTGGGGCTGGATGATGAATGGGGGCCAACTATATTGTCTATTCTTATGTTTGGAAAATCCCATAATAAGTGGTATCCTCCTTAAAAAGTCCAAGTTGTATAAGAGAATGTATATGAATTTACTTGGGTAAAAACAAACATTATAAATGCATATGTGTGTGAAAGAAAATGTGTAGAAGGCACACCCTTAACTAACAATAGTTACTTCTGGAATTAGAGCCAGGAAATGCTGAATTTTTATAGTCTTATCCTATTTTAACTTTTTATAACAAGTACCAATTTTAAATTAATATTTTATGCTATAGTAATGAATCTAAATATTAGAAAATATATTTTATGATGTGGAAGAACACACCAAACTGTTAATGGTGATTATCTCTCTATGGGTAGGGGCTTATGGGGGATGACTCATGCTTTTTAAGTCCTCTGAGTTTATAAACTGACATTTTTCCATATATTATTTTTGAAATCAGAAGAGCAATGGTACATTAAAAAAAAAGGTGTTTTTCACTAATATCTGTTTTCTCCAAGCCTGAAAGTCCCGAGTTTAAGTCCTGGCTCCATCACTGACAGGCTGCGTGGCTCTGGCTCTTCCCCTGGTGGCCTGCATCCCTTTTCTCACCTGAAAAGGGAGAGCACCAGCCTTCTACAGGGCTACTGAGGTGGCCCCAAGAGACAGCAGAGTGACCTAACGGGACCACCAAGGCAGTTCTAGCTCCTGGGCAGGTACACATACACACCACTTACCCTGGTCCCTAGACCCGGCAAGGCTCTGCACGGCCCCTCTTCCTACACCCAGACATGAAGGAGACAACCAGGGTCAAGGTAGGTGTTAGGGTGAAACTGGTCAGGAGACACGAACAGATCAGCTCAGGAGTTAGTAGGGAGTGGTGGCCTTGTAGCAGGCCAGCTCTGGGACGGACTCCCACGTCCTCACTCGACACAGATGGCGACACTCTCATTCTAATTCCTAGTAGGCTGACCACGTGATCCCTACCCAGGCCCTACAGTCACATCCCAGCCGGTACTCAGATATTTGCTGAGTGAGTAGCTGTAGGCATGTGTGACTGTTTGTGGTCAACTCCAAAGCCAGCGGCTCACAAACTCCTCTTTGCAACATATCCTGGGTCCTGGTGCTACATACCCATCCCCAGGACCTTCTCTCCTCTCCTCACCTCCTCCCTGCTCCTATGCACAGGAACCCCTCTCCACATCAGGGGACATGGCAGAGATGAGCAACCTCCCCAGGGACTGTCTGCAAAACAAAAGAATGCAGCCACAGCCTCATGGACCCACCAGGAATGGGACAGTGACCTAGAGGACATAGGGCCCTGGTCAGCTCAGGAACCATACAGAAGGAAGCAGGCCCTGAGCATGCCTGAGCTCAAGTCATGCCTAAATCTCTCCTGGTCCTTGGAGGACCTATGAGCTTTAACCTAACCATGTTTTTTTGTGGCTGTTTTAAATTTTTATTTATTTATTTTCATTTCATTTGAAAGATAGCAAGATAGACACAGAGATAGAGAAATAGAGACAGAGACATAGAGGTAGGCTTTCATCCACTGGTTTCCTCTCCAAATCCCTGCAATGGCCAGGGCTGGGCTTGACTGAAGACAGGAGCTGGGAACTCAACTTGGGTCTCCCACGTGGGTGGCAGGGACCTAAATACTTGATCCACCATCTGCTGCCTCCCAGGGTGTGCATTAGCAGGAAGCTGGATTGTAAGCAGAAGAGCTAGGACTCAGATCATGCATATGGGAGATGGGTGTGCCAAGCTGCATTTTTTTTAAAGATTTATTTATTTATTTGAGAGGTGGAGTTACAGGAGAGAGACAGACAGAGAGAGGTCTTCTATCCGCTGTTTTCACCCCCAAATGGCCACAATGGCAGGAGCTGGGTTGATCTGAAGCCAGGAGCCAGGAGCTTCTTCCAGGTCTCCCATGTGGGTGCAGGGGCCTAAGCACTTGGGCCATCTTCTACTGCTTTTCCCAGGCGCATTAGCAGGGAGCTGGATTGGATATGGAGCAGCCGGGACTCGAACTGGCACCCACGTGGGATGCCGGCACAGCAGGCAGAGGCTGGGCCTACTATGCCACAGCACTGTCCACCCTCCCCTACCTCCTCCTAAATGACATCTTAACTGTTGTGCCAAACGCCCTCCCCCATAGCAACCTGTGGCTCCTGTCCCCAGCCTGACCATTCTTCATTCCTGATCTGGATCCACTTCCCAGTTTTCAAAGCAGGTTCACATCAATCACTGCTTTAGACATCAGTCTTTTTTTTTTTTTTTTTTTTTTTTTAATTTTCTTTTTTTTTCTTTTCTTTATTTATTTGACAGGTAGAGTTATAGACAGTGAGAGAGAGAGACAGAGAGAAAGGTCTTCCTTCCATTGGTTCACTCCCCAAATGGCCACTACAGCCGGCGTGGCGCCGATCCTAAGCCAGGAGCCAGGTGCCTCCTCCTGGTCTCCCATGGGGTGCAGGGCCCAAGCACTTGGGCCATCCTCCACTGCACTCCCAGGCCACAGCAGAGAGCTGGACTGGAAGAGGAGCAACCAGTACTAGAACCCGGCACCCATATGGGATACCGGCACTGCAGGTGGAGGATTAACCAAGTGAGCCAGGGCGCCGGCCTTGAGGGCATCAGTCTTAGAGAGGTTAGAGGACTTGCCTAAGGCCAGGTCACCATGCAGTGCCAAACTCAAACTTCCCAACACAACACTGGCATTCTTTCCATTCTTTTTTGTTGCCCTATCCACATGCTACTTTACAAAATACATGGTTCTCCCCGCTCTCCCGGGGACTCATCACACAACGTTGTAACTTTTGTGCTCTCTGGAGTACAAACCAAACTCTGCACTTCTCTATTCATTCGACCAACAGTTCTCCAGTGCCAAGCACCTTTAAGGAAAGTCCGGTGCTACCAACCGTGGAGGAGTCACACAGGAGAGCGACACCTGGAGTCTAGCGCAGGAGCTGAAGAAGGCACATGGATAATTTATATAACATTTCCTAACTAGGGGCTCCATCAAACACCTGTTTGTTGTGTGTGTTTTTTTTTTTTTTTAAGATTTATTTATTTATTTGAAAATCAGAGTTACACAGAGAGAGGAGAGGCAGAGAGAGTCTTCCATCCACTGGTTCACACCCCAGACGGCCGCAACAGCCGGAGCTGTGCCAATCCAAAACCAGCAGCCAGGAGCTTCCTCTGGGTCTCCCACATGGGTGCAGGGGCCCAAGGACTTGGGCTATCCTCCACTGCTTTCCCAGGCCATAGCAGAGAGCTGGATCAGAAGTGGAGCAGACGGGACTAGAACCGGCGCCCAAATGGGATGCCAGCACTTCAGGCCAGGGTATTAACCCGCTGTGCCACAGCACTAGCCCCAACTCTGCCTTTCAAATAAAAAAAAAAACCACATGCATGTGCACGCACACACACACACAAAGCAATACTAACACAACACTGTGTCTGAGAGGGACAGGAACCTCAGGGAATGTCCTTCAGAATGCACAACCCCTGGTTACCATCCAGAGGGGCTACAGAGAGGTCAGATAAACTTGGGAGTGGAGGGCAAGTCTGTTGAGATCTCAGCCCTGCCAGACTTGGCCTACCTGGGAGATAGCTGATCATGTAAGAAAGGAGTTCACAGCTAGTTTTGAAAAACACTCCTCAGTTAAGAGATGTCAAGGGCAACCCTACGTGGTGGTGGGACTCAGGCCGATTTGCAATACTTAGCGATCCTGCAGAGACGCAGAGCCTGGCCGATGAGGGTGACTGGCCGGCCTTCTCACTCCTGTTACCGCCCCAGAGCTGCCTCCCTTCCTCTGGCCCCGGCTCACTTCACAGGAACGGAGCAAGTCAGAGAGCGCAGTGCGGGAGCCACCAGAGAAGCTGACCTCACGAGCAACTCTCTTCGCAGCATTCTCCGGTTCGGGTCTCAGTTTCTGCAGAACTGTAGGAATTCATAGTCTGCCTTCTCCATCTGTTTAACTCTGAGAATCCTGAACCAGAGTGCACGGAGGCACCTGGAAATGTTCATCTTGGTCATCAGCATTACAGATCTGTGTTGGTTCTCGTGGGCACATGCTCGTTCCTATGGGAGCTTCGTGCCAGGAGCCCTGGCATGCCTGAGCCCATCTGTGCTGCTCACGAGGCTGCTCCCAACCACGTGGAGGCAGAGCAGGCAGGGATGAGACCTGCATTCCAAGAATGTCTACATCACACTCACCGGTCGGAATGGGAAGACATCTGAGTAACTTCAGTGGAACTCGGAACACACAGAAACCAGTTCTTGGGTGTTGAGGTCCCGAGGCCAGCCCACATGGACCTGACCCTCAAATACAGGACCAAGGGAACAAACGGCCTTTCAGCCCCCAAAAGACAGAGGATCCGCGAGGACTGGGCTCTTCACAGGCTGCACCAGCCCTTTTCTCTGGTACTCTCGTATCTCCCTATCTACGCGAACAACGCTACTCCTACCTTGAAAGGTTTATTAAAGATCCAGGCATTCAGGACACAGAGATATCCAGCTTCCTGCTAACGCAGACCTGGCAGGCAGCAGGGAAAGCTCAGCTACTCGGATCCCTGCCAGCTACGTGACAGACCTGGACTGAGTTTTCAGCTTCTGGCTTCAGCCTGGCCCAGTCCACGTCCTTTGCAACATTTGGGGAGTGAGCCAGCGGGTAGGAGCTCTTTGTCTCTCAAATAAATAAAGCACATTTTAAAAGGATGCAGACATAAAAAAGCTTCAGTCTAAAGGAGGAAATAGAAAAGTAAACTAGGAAAGCTGCCCAGTTACCAGGCCCTGGCAGAGATGTGTAAGCACCTGTGTGTGTGAGGGCAGGGTATTCTGGGAGAGGATGTGGACACAGCACACAGGACAGCGCACAATTCGCTGTGCCAAGGGCAGAGGAGCTGGAGCCCACAGCACATGTAGGGATGGTAAGGAAGCAAGGGCAGGCCCAAGCCAAGAAGAAAGGCCTTGGAGTCGCACTGCCTTCAGCTCTGGCTTGCATGGCTCACGTTCTCTATGAGAGCACATAACCCAGACCCGCCAAACCTTCCAAGGGGTCCCACGACTTTCAGGACCCTTTCTCTTCCCATTCCCTGGCTAAGTAAACCGGGTACTTCCTCATGGCAGACGACACTGGGTAATCCTCACTATCTGTTACACTCTCTTGGGCTAGTAAGCACAGATTACATTAAGCTTTCATACATGTTCTACTTACAAAGGAATTATAATTCTGACAGATGGTAAGTGAAAAAAGCAGGATGCAAAATTGCACACAAAACTGAAATATTTAAAATTTTTTAAATTTATCTTTTCGAAGAGATTTATATGCTATAAATAAAATTGGTTGAAACAAAAATAAACAAAAAATTGAACATATTATATAATATCAACAGGTTAAAAGACACAGGAAAAAAGAGGACAAAAATATTAATGATAATGGTCTCTAGATGGTGGAATTATAGAGAAGTTTCTTGGTTTTTTTCTTCTTTTTACTTATCCATCCTTCTTATTTTTCGCACAGTGAGTACTATTTTAATACTCAGGAAAAATGTTAAAGGTTCTAGACATTCAGATCTCTACAGAAGAGGGCAAAAGAAAGCAATTTTATTAAGGAAGCTCCTTAATAAGAATAATTCTTAGAATAAATTCTCTCAAATTTTAGCATTTAAATTTTTTAAAATTTATTTTTAAAAAAGATTTATTTATTTATTTGAAAGGCAGAGTTACATGGGGCTGGCATTGTGGCACAGCAGGTAAAGCCTCCACCTGTGGTGCCGGCATCCCATATGAGCACTGGTTCAAGTCCCAGCTGCTCCACTTCCGATCCAGCTCTCTGCTATGGCCTGAGAAGGCAGAAGATGGCCCAAGTCCTTGGGCCCCCGCACCCGTGCGGGTAGACCCAGAAGAAGCTCCTGGCTCCTGGCTTCGGACTGGCCCAGATCCAGCCGTTGCGGCCAATTAGGGAGTGAACCAGCAGACAGAAGACCTCTCTCTCTCTCTGCCTTTCAAATAAATAAATAAATCTTTAAAAAAAAAAAAAAAGGCAGAGTTAAACAGAGAGGGAGGGAAGGAGAGAAAGAGACAGACATATCGATCTTCCATCCACTAGCTCACTCCCCAGATGGCCACAATGGCAGGAGCTGCGCCGATCCAAAGCCAAGAGCCAGGAGCTTCTTCCAGGTCTCCCACACGGGTTCAGGGATCCAAGCACTTGGGCCATTTTCCTCTGCTTTTCCAGGAGCATCAGCAGGGAACTGGATCAGAAGTGGAGCAGTTGGGACTAGAAACAATGCCCATATGAGACACTGGAGCTGCAGGCGGCGGCCTTACCTGCTACACTGCAGTGCCAGCCCCTAGATTTAATTTTTAAAATAAATAAGCATCTGCAAGGCTCAAATTCAAACAGAACAAAAGGATACTGACCGTAGTCTCTCCCATTCCTGGAACCCAGCTGGCCTATCCCCCACCTTGGAGAACAATGGTACTAGACACTGATTTGGGATAAATCCAAGAAGTCGAAGTGCAAGGTCAAAAGTATCTAGGGGCTGGTGCTGTGGCACAGCAGGTAAGCCACTGCCTGTAGGCCAAAATCCCATATGGGCACTGGTTTGTGTCCTGGCTGCTCCATTTCTGATCCAGCTCCCTGCTAAAGCCTGGCAAAAGCAGCAGAGATTGGCCCAAACGTTTGGACCCCTGCAACCCACATACGAGACTAGTTGAAGTTCTGGGCTCTGAGCTTCAGCCTAGCCCAGGCCTAGTCATCGCTGCCATCTAGGGAATAAATCAGTGGATGGAAGATCTGTCTCTCCCTCTCTCTCTTCGTAACTCTGACTTTCAAAGAAATAAAGAAATTAAAAAAAAAAAAAAAAAAAAGCCAAAGCCACAGCTCACTAGGCTAATCTTCCACCTTGCGGCGCCGGCACACCGGGTTCTAGTCCCGGTCGGGGCGCCGGATTCTGTCCTGGTTGCCCCTCTTCCAGGCCAGCTCTCTGCTGTGGCCAGGGAGTGCAGTGGAGAATGGCCCAAGTCCTTGGGCCCTGCACCCCATGGGAGACCAGGATAAGTACCTGGCTCCTGCCATCGGATCAGCGCGGTGCACTGGCTTCAGCGCGCCAGCCGCGGCGGCCGTTGGAGGGTGAACCAACGGCAAAGGAAGACCTTTCTCTCTGTCTCTCTCTCTCTCACTCACTGTCCACTCTGCTTGTCAAAAAAAAAAAAAAAAAAAAAAAAAAGAGTATCCATCTTTAGAACTTTGACAATGCCAAACACCCTCCCAAAACAATATACCAATTTGTATTCCCATGAAAAATACCTAGGTATGCTTATTTCCCATATCCTTGACAATGATGTGTGCTTTCAAAAGAGAATGTATCCTGGGGCTGGCGCTGTGGTGCAGTGGATTAAAGCCCTGGCCTGCAGTGCTGGCATCCCATATGGGCACTGGTTAGAGTCCCAGCTGCTCTTCTAATCCAGCTCCCTGCTAATGTGCCTGGGAAAGCAGCAGAAGATGGCCCAAGTCCTTGGGCCCCTGCACCTGCGTGGGAGACCTGGAGGAAGCTCCTGGCTCCTGGCTTCAGATTGGCTCAGCTCTAGCCGTTGACAGCCATTTGGGGAGTGAATCAGCAGATGGAGGATCTCTCTCTCTCTGACACTCCCTCTCTCTCTAACTCTGCTTTTCAAATAAATAAATAAATCTTTAAAAAAAGAAAAGAAAAGAAAGAAAGAAATTAGCATGGCAGAGGCTCTGAGTTCAAATCTCAGCTCCACCATTTATTCAGTAACTTTTCTCTGAGCCTTTGTTTTACTCATCTGTGCAAATGGAGCTATTATCTTCTCAAGATAGTTGAAAGAATTAAAGTGATTAAACAGTAAGGAGCTAGCATGGCACTCAGAAATGCTAATCTCTTTCCCTAATACATGCTCCCTCAGACTTCACTGAAGGTGTACTACTTATCTTCCACACAGAGCTATACAACCAGCAGGCAGTTGGTTAATTTGCTGAATGAGTCATAACTTCTCTTTCCGAATGAACATCATTCTTTGAAGGAAAAGCAGGTGAATCAGAACTATGCACGCTGATGTGCTGAGAGATCTAGAGTGACATGCTTAGTGATCCAGACAAAACCAGATACTTCTCAGGAGTGTTTAAATCAGAAGGCATTTGCCTATTTCTTGTCACTGTTAAGCGGACTCACCCTCTGCCCATCCCTGTCTAATAAATGATCCCGTTTTATCTGTACTGCTTGCCTAGAGGTAAATACTCGATCCTTAGCATCCCCTGGGATGCTGATCAAGGCTCAGAGTAGTGCTGTCATTTGCTCATGGTCACATAGCCAGTCAGAGGCAAAGCCTCCCAACCCCAAGCCAGTGTGCTAAACAGATGGTACCTCGGTGATCTGCCCTTGTGTGTGTCTCCTCGCATCCAGACCCGACTTCCAGGTCCCTCACTCAACACAGGCCAGCTCCGCCAGAGTACCGGGCAGATCTGATGCTCAGGAGCACTTAGAACTTAAAACCAATCATGGCCGGCGCCGCGGCTCACTAGGCTAATCCTCCGCCTAGCGGCGCCGGCACACCGGGTTCTAGTCCCGGTCGGGGCACCGGATTCTGTCCCAGTTGCCCCCTCTTCCAGGCCAGCTCTCTGCTGTGCCCAGGGAGTGCAGTGGAGAATGGCCCAAGTCCTTGGGCCCTGCACCCCATGGGAGACCAGGAAAAGTACCTGGCTCCTGCCTTCGGATCAGCGCAGTGCGCCGGCCACAGCTTGCCGGCCGCGGCGGCCGTTGGAGGG